GGGGTGGTAGGGGGTGGGTGAAGGGGGGGGGTCGAGGGTAGGGGTGAAAAATTGAAATTTTGAAGTTAAAAATATTTTTGAAAAACAAACTTAAAATTATTTTTTGGGGGTGGAGGGGGGCTGGTTGGGGAGTGGGTGGGTGGGGGTTGAGGGTAGGGGTGAAAAAATGAAATTTTGAAATTGAAAATATTTTTTAAAAACAAACTTGAAATTTTTTATTTTTTTTTTGGCGAGGGAGGGGGGGTGGGGGGCTGGTAGGGAGTGGGTGGGTGGGTGTCGAGGGTAGGGGGTGAAAAAATGAAATTTTGAAATTGAAAATATTTTTTAAAAACAAACTTGAAATTTTTTTATTTTTTTTGGGGTGGGTGGGTGGGTGGGGGTTCTAGGGGTGAAAAAATGAAATTTTGAAATTAAAAATATTTTTTAAAAACAAACTTAAATTTTTTGTGGTGGGGGGGGGGGGGGGGAGTTAGGGGTGGGGGGTTGGGTAGGAGGTGGGTGGGGGGTCGAGGGTAGGGTGAAAAAATGAAATTTTGAATTTGTAAATATTTTTTAAAAACAAACTCAATTTTTTTTGGGGGGTGGAGGTGACCGGAGAGGGGGTGGGTGATCGAGGATCGGGATGAAAAAATAAAAATTTGAAGTTGAAAATATTTTTTAAAAACCAACTTAATTTTTTTTCTTTTTGAAGGGGGTTGGGGGCTAATAGGGGGGGGGGGTTGATGGGGGGCGAGGGTAGTGGGTGGGGGGTAAAAAAATAAAATATTGAAATTAGAAATATCTTTTAAAAACAATTTTTAATATTTTTTTGGGAGGGGGAGGGGGTAGGGGTGAAGGTGGGGTAAAAAAATGAATTTAAAAACAAGCTTATTTATTTATTTATTTTTTTGGGGGGGGGGGTTGGTTGGGGGGTGGTTTGAGGGTAGGGACAAAATAATTTGATTTTTTCAACAAAAAAATAATTGTAATTTGACGTTGGAAGAGAATTTTGGAAAATGTTTTCCCTAAGTTTAGAAGGGAAGTCATTTTCCTTAAATTTGAGGAAAATGAGTTGATTTGGAAAACATTTTCCAAAACATTTAGCCCAACCAAACATGAGAAAATTGGAAAACATTTTCCAGAAAATGTTTTCCTTCATACCAAACACACCCTTAGTGGAAAATACAGTGGTTAAAAATCCTGAGGTCTTAATTTCAAATGAAGATAAAAATATTAGGTGTTTTTTTATCATCGTTACCTGATACATGTGGGAGGTTGTCGCAGATAGCAGTGGACCAAATCATTCATTAATCCGAGGTATGATTCGAACAGATATGCAATTATTTTTGGTCTCAAATACTACCTTTAAAATGAAGTTATAATTCCACTTCTGCTCCAAAATCTATATACAGTACAACACAACTAACTTTATTTGGTCTTCGTTTTCTTGTATATATCGAAATAAAAAAAACAAGAATTAAAATGCTAATTAAGTGGAAGTAATAATAGAAAGAAAAGAAGTTTGTCCTTGTGCACAAATTTCTTCATATGCCAACCAACTTGTTGATTTTGTGCGTTTGAATATTTGCTTGTTGATAGAAAATGAAATCTTTCGAATGAGAAAATGGAGAAAAAAGTCATTACAAAAACACTCACACATGGGACAAATTCTAGCTAAATTTTTTTAGAAAATTGTAGTTCGATGAAAACAGTTTCATGCAGAAATGTAGGATAAGACTATTGTAATACAATAAAACCTCTTTTAATTAATATAGGCGGGATCATCAAATATTATTATTTTATAGAGGTATTATTTAATCGATAAATTAATATTTATTAATTTACAGAGTGTTTCGACACCAAAAAATTTGTTCAGGAATCCACTTGTGAAAACGTCATTCATGAACTTGAGGTCATGATTAATGATCTCGTTACCGCAATAAAATGGACGTTAATAACCTATTGAATGGGTGAAAATGATACATGTTCAGAGAGTCAGAGCTTTGAACAAATTGTGGATATCATTGAAAAAATAATGTTGATGATAAAGTTGAAGATGATACAATACCATTGAAATCAGTTACGCGTAAGGAAACACTTGCATCTAGAACTCTTCACAATTTTATGGTGCAATTAGAAAAGACAACGTCGAAACTTTTGGATGCAATAAGAAAAGTTAGAGATGAACTTCAACTAGATTTAAATTTTAACAAAAAAAGAACATAATAGAATCATATTTCACTAATTTTTCTTAGATATATTTGTACTTTGAAAGAATTATTAATTTATAATATTAATGAGACCATATATTTATATAGGGGTCTTCTAAAAATATATTATCTTATTATCTTATTGAAATGAGTAAATTTTTCCATTGACCCAAATCGGGACCGAAAGAAATTATTATCTTAGAGAGATTATTAATTAATTGAATATTAATTTAGTGTAGATATGACTATTGTAATAGAGATTTTTGTGGACTGGTCCCCGCATAGTGCAAGCTTAGTGTACCAGACTATTTCTCATTTTAGTACATGACCACAATATGTTGTGATGAAATAGTAAATACTTTCTTTACGATTAGAGGTCTCGATTCATGCTTTGAGAATGGAGTTTACTATGGTTGGGAGTAAACTCTTTTATTCCACATTTGAATAGATGATTGAAGAAAAACTTACAATTGTTGCAAATGAGTAGAAATGTGTTGTTACACAAGGCACAATAACAGCAACAAATTTGAATAAACATACTAATATGGAAACAATATAGTAATATAATTAAACCAACATAAAATCAACTGTTATCTGAGAAAACATAAGAGTTCAAAAAAACAAAATGCCTAAAGAAAAAGTGGCCATTCATGCCACTCATAAGGAACTAAATTGGTGTGCGTTTTGCTATTACCATTGCCAAAATCACACACTAACTTTGAAGAAGACTTGTCCATGTCGTAGCTCATCAGAACCTCAGCACCACCCTTTTTGTTATTTAAAACAATAAGAATTAGCGGCTCAGCTGGGTGAAATGTCATATCGCGATTAGATTGAATACGTCCACTCTTTAAAAGTCCCGAGTTACTAAGACAAGTGTAAACTTGAATACAAACACTTAGTGTAGTGTACTGCTCCCATATAGCTGTCTTGTCTCGCACACCGCTCTTCAGGTGCCAAACACTCATATCTCCAAAATTCATGAGTCCAGGACTCGTACCTCCATAACAGAGAACTCCTCTCGATACACCTAAACTTCTCTTATGTTGATAATCAAGTCCATCAGGCACATCGATGCACCAAAAACACGTATTGACACTATCATATACGTTGATTCGAGGTCCAAAATCAAGCCAATAGAACACTCCATCAATAGATCCTCCTGATTTTAGCCAGTTTGAAGGATGGTGAACAGAGGTATGAAAATCAATACGAGGAATTTCAAGTGCGAGGTTTATCTTAACCCACACATTTCTTCTGAAACTTTCAATTGTTACCATTGATTCTGCAGGTATCTCATAACGAACTAATGTAAATGAGACATTATCACTATTAATTGGGTCATCTAACTTGCAATTAAACCCAATTGCAACATGTTTAGCACATGATGGTGCTTGGGGAAGGGCAATGGATTGCCTTGTGGCGGGATTATAAACATAGTAATGTTGTTGATATATTTCTTGCTCACAACAAAGGAGAAATCCCATCGACGATGCAATAATGTATAGGCTATGGTCAGGTAGAAAATTTACAGACTCATCGAAATTTTCTTTAACCATATTCTTCTTCTCTGATGAAGTGAAGAAAAAATGAATTGGGGATTGTGTACCTATAGGTTGGTAAAATAATCCTATAGTACGAGTACACAATTGTCTCTGAGAACGAGAGTCAGATACATGTTGTCCCCAAATCCGAGACACACATTTAAATCTCGCAAGGGATTTTGAAGGCAACCGATGCAATATATTAATTATTGTGTCTTCTGACGGCTCCATGACAATCTGCAAATTCAATAGAATTGATAGTCTAAAACCAGCAATTCAATTAAATTGATAGTCTAAAACCAAACTATAATTAGAGGCATTATGTTTGATAGTGTAAAACCAGCAATTCAATAAAATTGATAGCCTAAAACCAAACTATATTTCATACTAACAAAAACCATCAATTGAGTTAGTGCTTAGTGCATATTCGGGGGAGGATCTGCTATTGAGGTAACAAGTTAACAGATTGCAAGTTTGGATGGCTTTCATACTAATTAAATCAAAATCATCAATGAAAAAACAAAGATTAGATAATTAGTAAACTAATTAAAAACCGGCAATCAATATACTAACCTCAAATAGGTTTTGAAGATTGAAAAACAAAGATGAGAGTTCACAACTTCTATTAATACACTGTGTTTGTGTGTTATATAAAGACTCAAATTAGAGTTTTACTAGTGGTGTTATTCCTGTCATCACGGGCTCAATAACTATTCGAGAAAATAAGTTTTTTATTTTTGGATAATTATCTTATTATTAATATTTAATAGTATTAATTTGATTCCGGTAAAATAAGATAAAATGTGCCATCACGGGCTCAATAACTATTCAAGAAAATAAGTTTTTTTTTTGCGGATAATTATCTTATTATTAATAATTAATATTAATTTGATTCCGGTAAAATAAGATAAAATGTGCAAAATAGCTTTTAGCCATAGTAAAGCACAATAAATTGTGAAATCTATCATAATTTTATGGTTAAATTCTGGTGATCCGTTAAGATATGATCAAATATTTAGAGATTTGTTAAAATTTGGCCATAAATCCATATGATTTAGTTAGGGTTTATGACAAGCTAAGTTTCACACAATAATTTGAATTTGTTAAAATTTGTTTACTTTTACAAAAATGCATATTAACATTAAAAAATTGCAGGTTTAACATCATTAAAAAATATAACGAAAGAAGTAAACATTTGGCTATAAGTCAGGGTATGCATGCGGTTTTTCGGTTAGACAGGTAGCAATGGGTAGTATGGAATTTAAAATTTCACTGCAATTATTTATTATAAATGACATTGAATGAATAAAAGTGTCAAAAAAAATTACAATAAATGTGATAAAAGACTTAATAATAGGAATTTTGTGCAATATTGGGCCGGATGCATTCAAATTGAAAGTGCAGCCCAAATAGCAAGCCCACTTAGAACCACCGGCACCTTGAATACTGAAATTGCAGCGGAAACATCATCAGCAACTGGTGCTGGTGAAGTTCCCGGTGATAAACTCGCCGGCGCTGTAGTAGGTCCATTAACAGATTCTGCCGGACTTGCTGAACTTGAAGGTATGCTTGGGGATGCTGACGGTGTCGCAGTGCTGGCCGGAACATCCGCTGCCGTCGGGGAAGACGCCGGAGTGCTCACCGGAGTTGATACCGGCGGAGGAGTTGCAACAGAAGGAACCGGAGCAGATCTACTGATTGACGGAGTGAGTGCTGGTGAAATGCTGGTTACTGGAGAAGCTGCTTTCGGTGACTGTACCGGCGCAGCAGACGGGCTAACTATAGGAGCCGAGGGCGAAAACACCGGAGCACTAGCCGGAGAAGAAACCGGTGCTTGAGATTTTACCGCCGGCGATTTAGTCGGGGAAGAAACCGGTGCTTGTGATTTTACCGCCGGTGATTTAGAAGGAGAAGAATTTGGGGATTGAGAAGGTGCATTTTGTGCTTCACCGGAATTTAACACGAGAATAAATACGATAACAATGCCAAAGAATTTAGACATATTGCAATGCTAGAAAATGAGAAAGAACAGAATATTCCGGTGGTCGTTAAACTAGCAGAAATTGATAAAAGAATAGAATATTCCGGTGGCCGGAAAACTATAATCAATTGAATAAATAAATACTGAAGAATATTGAAGAGAATGTTTGTTTGGGGAGAAATATATAGTAAGTGAAACTAAACGTTGCGTTCATAAAATTTTAAAAGCAAAGTTACCGTTGCTAGTCGTGGGGCTCCAAAGGATACGGATGTACGGCTTGTCGCAGTAATGTAGCCGTTATTGAAAAGTATTTTCCAATAATAAAAATTTACTTGTACTTGATGTTTATATTTAAAAACGGAGTTAGAATTTTAAGTTTTTAGAGTTTAGATTATTATTTTTCATTGTCAAAATTATTGGATTTTGCCGAATTCATGATATTCAGCATGCTAGCTTTGCCGCTATCGCTAGCTCCACCCTTGTCTATACCGGGGCGCATTCAGTCAGTCGAGAATCTCGAGAATTCAGTTGCTTTTGTCTGAATCCTTTATTTACATTGAGAATCCATTATTATATAAGAAATTGATAGTTAAGAAACTCGCAATTAAAAGGAGTTGTAGGTGTAAGATTGACTCACCTTAAAGTCATACCAATAGTTTTTTGTCCATTATTATTGTGCATTACTCTCTTTTAGTATAGTTGAACTTTCAAGAGTCAACCAAGATTTTCTTTGATCATAATCTTTTTATGTTTTTAAATATTATTCTGATTTATAGAATTTTTTTACGTAGTCTTCAAATATATAAATTTCAATTCTAAAAACATAAAGTTTCTATATTTGAATCGTAGTCAAAATTTATTAGTTTGAATACTAAGACTGTGAGAATAGTTTATTTTACTGAGAACCTACAGACTTAACAGTTTGATTCCGCCTCTAAATTCTCTCCCAAAGGATACTAATTAGTTATAATTAAGTTATCAATTCATGTGTGAATGTGAGTTGAGCTTAGTATTGATTGGTATAAATATTGAATACGAATACATTTTAAACGATTTTATTTCTCCCCCTAAGTATAAAAGGTGTCATGCTCCGAGTCACCTTTTGATCAAAACAAGCCAACCGAGACTACTTAATAAATTGCCATTTCAGTGCAGCCAAACTAAAATAAGAGGTTTGTCTTTTGATTTGTTTTTTTAAAATAGAGTTGAATTGTTTTGATATATACGTTTTTCTAACAAACAAGTTATCAATGAATTGATACCTAATAGTTATTTGTGCTTTTGCTGCTTATAGATGTTTTTTTACTTGAATAGGTGCAATAAGTAGGATATTTATCGATGATTCGATTTAATTCGATAATTTGTACTTAACAATTTGACTTATCAATTATCGAATTTTATATATTTTAAACCGCTACCAAAATAATAAAATATCAATTGATTCTGTTGGATTTAATGATTATTGATTGGTTATCAATCGGGTTATCAATGAAATTAGGGCAAATTACAGAAATTACATACTTTTAAAGCAAAATTACAATCTATCCCTTAAAAGTTTATAATTACATAAATCCCTCAAATGGATACAATAATATAAGTGTTGATACATTAATCTGATGCGCGAGATACATTAATTGTTAAGTAAGATACATTACAGTTTATACATGATACACTAATCTGATGTACATTTTATACATGATACACTAATCTGATGCGCGAGATACAATAATATAAGCGATGATACATTAATCTAATGCGCGAGATACACTAATCTAATGCACGAAAATGAGAGATTTTGAAAATTTGTAAAACCTTACAGGGGATAATGGTAATAAGTAAACTAAAAGGTGATATTTATGAAATTTTTCCATGAAATTAATACATATTCGAAATATTAAGTGTCCTCCACGGGTCCATAGTCCAGAGTGTAGTAAATGGTTATTCCCTCTGATTGAAGCATGCCAATTCTCTACGTTATGGTAGGAATGGTATGGTATATATCGAAAATTCATGTAATATTGAAAATTTTAATATTGTGGTTTTGATATTATGACATTTAGTATGGTATATGATATACATTTATTTTTTTTGGTATGCAGTACGATATTTGGTATTTAGAAATAACATATTGAAATATCGAATAACATATCGAAATATTGAATATCATATTGAAGTCTATAGTTACATAAATAAAACACACACACACACACATATATATATATAAATAAAATACTAACAAATATGCAACCTAGCATTAGTATAAACTATAAATGTTTAGAAGTTGAAACTTAGACTAATCTATTTTGATTGAAATGTATTTGAAATATAATTGATTAACAAAATGAGTTGTTTGTACTTTATTTTGAATATATATTTTTACATGTGTAATGTCTTAGTATGATACTACTGAGACCTAATTTTTTTAATTGTCGGAGTCATAATACTCTATTATACGAGTATATAATAGGCGCAGTTAAACAAACTATGGTTACCGATTAACCAAACCGTAGAATATTGAAACTGAACTTCAAAATACCGAACCATATCGAATTAAATTGATATGATAATGGTATAACGTTTTAAAAATCAATTATTGAAATTACGATATCAAAACTTTCAAATACCGCTCCATGCCATACCATGCACACCCTTACTCTACGTGAATCACTTCCTTGAGGATTAACGGATTATCGATTAATTCGATATAAAAATTAGACAATTTATTTTTGAACTAATAATTCGTTATTTAAAAATACTAAACCATTCCGAAAATATTAATCTGATAGCCTGACACCTATTGCAATAATAACACTTGTTTGAGTTACCGTTTATGATTTAATTTTGAACACCCTTACAAGTTACAAGTCACACCTATCAACTACACTTATATTTTAAATTAGGGATTAATTGAGGTACTCATCTAGCTTATTCTTCATATTTGCCCCTTGCAACTTCTAGATTTTTGCTTTCTTTTGGGGTCATAGAGACCCATTTACAATTGTTGAAAAGAGAACTTGTGATTAGTGACAGAGTCAGAACTTTTAATAGAAATTTATAATTTAAAGAAGTGAATATATTAACTAGCCCAAGGGGATTACACATCTATTTCTATTATATATACATAAAAAATAATTTTAATTATATATTAAAAAATATAAATTTTAGTCAAAAGGAGCTTCAAATGAAGTCCTGACTACAAGCTGACAGACAATTTGTTTAGATTTGAATGGAAGAGTTACGTTAATGACAAATCAAATTGAGATAGTGATAAAATTATATTTGATTAGATAGAACATATTATCCGTATAATTAATTAGTTTGATCAATACAAGTGTCGAAAGTCCATGAAATTAATCAAACATAAACTCTTCACAATTTTAAATAAATAAAAAAAATTCAACTATTTTTATATTATATTCGAATCTAATACAAGTACAACAATAACATATACTCAATGGGATCTTTATAAGACTTATTCGGCAGGGTTAACAACCTTATCTAAGGATGGCAATTGAGACGAGACAAACTCTCAATCAAACAGGAGAAGGTAAAATTTAATTTGCTAGAAATTTAAATAGGACAATTTAAATAAGATAAAACAAATCCACTATAGTTACTTTGAATACAATGAACTAAATCATTGTCACTGTTTTTATCACAAACATGGAGTACTAAAAATTAGACTATACACGAATTGTTTTTATTAAATTACCTCTAGCTAGCGTAACGTAATTATAGATGGTCAAAGGAAGATAATTATAATTGTGAGTTGTTGGATTAAGCAATAAATGCATGTGTAGTTATAGTGAAAACCAACAACGTTTAGTACGTATTTAATTAATAGGAATATTATTTAGTAACTAGCTAGTAGTACTATTAATTAGTAAGAGATTCAAGTCAATGTTTTAAGCTACTCTAACACCAATAATAAATTCCGACGAAATAGTTTTTAAAAAAAGAAACAAAAAATGAAAAATATAAAAATGTCTTTTGAAAGAGGTATAAAGTAGGGAAAAGACTCAAATATGCCATCGAAGTATTGGAAAAGGCTCATCTTTGCCATCCGTTAAAAGTTTGGCTCATTTATGCCATTACCGTTATAGAAAAGGTCCATTCATGCCACTTTTTCATTAACGGAATCTATATCCAGATTTTCAAACCCATTAATGTGACATGCCCTCTTATTAGAGGTCCACGTCATCAATATAAAATCAGGTCATTTAATTAAAATAAAAACAAAAACCCAAAACCCATTAACATAAAACCAAACCCGACCATACCCCAAAGTAAAAAACCACAAGTAATACTCTGTTCTCCATCCGACCACGCATGAAAGGATCATAAAACTATAAATTCTCCACCAGTAACCCATTGGGACTTTTTCAAGATTCAATTTTTTTTCTTCCCAATATTCAACTCCATATGAGTTTCCTATGGAATTCCTTCAATATTCCCTTTTAAATTGTTTTCTTTGTTCTCCATTGTTTTCCCTAGTAGCTAAATCCACTCCTTCTTTCTCCATTTTTATATGTTCTTCTTCTTCCTCTGTTTCTGCAACTACAGAGAACAAAAAAAAATTCAAAAATTTATCAAAATTCGAGAACACTTTTTTTGTTTGTTTCGCACCCTATTACAATGGTTTTACACTGATCACAAAAATGGTGGGATCTTGGGAAATTGGGAAAATAATGAAGTGTGATTATAGCTAAAAGAGTTTTTTACTTTAGTATGTGGATCGGGTTTGGTTTTATGTCAATGGGTTTGGATTTTTGTTTTTATTTTAATTAAATGACCTGATTTTATATTGGTGACGTGGACCTCTAATAAGAGGGCATGTCACATTAATGGTTTTGAAAATCTGGATATGGATTCCATTAATGAAAAAGTGGCATGAATGGACCTCTCTATAACGGTAATGGCATAAATGAGCCAAACTTTTAACGGATAGCATAGATGAGCCTTTCCAATACGTCGATGGCATATTTAAGCCTTTTCCCTATAAAGTATAAACATGATACGATTTCTAATAGTTTAAATTTTAGATGAGAAGACCATATATACACATTTACATAATATGAAATCGGATGTAGAGGCGTATCCAGGATTTCTGTTAGATGGGTGCACGAGTATGAAAAAATGTATCTTAAATACAAATTTGATTGATATGACTTTTAGGTTCTTAATATGAACCATTAAATTTTAAAAATTATAGGTCGAAAATATATAACACTACTAATTTTAAATTTTAATATACACATTTAATTTAATTCTATAAAAAAATTACAGTGCTAAGTTTTTTAGGAATTTTCAATGTGACACACTTGAAAATTTTGAAAGATTAAAGGAAAAAACAAAAGCAAAATTAGTTGAAATGTCAAAAGTCTAACCGATAATCACTTGGAGAGGTGTTACTCAAAAAGACAAGATATATTTAAGATTTAAATTTCTATCATCACTTAGGGAGGTGCACTTAATCATCATCGTATTATTATATGATACTTTGAACATTGGTTCACACATCTATATTTAAATATTTTTTAAAAAATATAACACTACTATATATAATCTAGAGAGGGGAGCATGGGTTCACGTGAACCCCCAGCACCCCCTCTAGATACACCTCTTTATTCAGATGTCACCGCCGCCTATTATCAAAATGAATTTGTACATGTTTGACAAAAAAAATTATAATCTTACACGTAAAGGGCGTGTTGAGAATACAATTACATAACAAATTTTTTTTTTTTTATTCTCTCTAACAACTCAAAAATATAGATAAGATAGGCACACTCTTTAACAAGGCTTAACAAGGCGGAGGAGGTAAAGTTTTGAAAAAATAATAATTGGGATAGGGCAAAGGAGTCAAGACTTACCCTACCACGCCTCACTCTCCCCAATCTTACCCCTATCTTATAATAAATAAATAAAAAATATAAAAAGTATTTGGCTCAAGTAAACATATTAAAATGAAACATCATAAAGAAATATAATAGTGAAGAAAACATAATAAAAAGCTAACAATACTGAGAGCTTATAGACTCCTATATGATAAAAATTACTTTATAATATATTACTAATTTTTTTAAAAAAAATTTACAAAATCCACTTATTAGTGAAAAGTCAACACAAGACAAAATGTTGGAAGTAGGTGGGTCAAAATCAAATTGAAATTGATAATTTGAATCGAAAAATAATAATTGATCTATTAGTGATGAGTTATTGATTTAACGGCTGCAGTAATGATTTTGATTTTTTCTATTATTGAGTTATCATTTTTAATGATTTGAAGTTTTTCTTTAATGAGTTAACTGATAATTCAATAGTAAAATAATATATTATATTTATATCATTCGATATATAAAGTCGTTGACCTTAGGTTTAGTTTCATATTTTTATTTCTGATAGTCTCAAACTTTCGATTATTCTACAAAGTTTTAGTGTTGTTTTTGAACAAGACGCAATCTATCAATTCATATGCATGATTTATTTTGTTAGTCACCATGTTTCTAAGTAATTTTCAATATTTATTTTTGTCTCATATCTTAACAGTTAAATCGATAACCGAACCGATAGTGATCAATCATTAATAAATCGACAACCGATAAATCAATATATTAATGGTTCTTTAACGATTTAGTATGTCTACAAATCGATAACTGATAAGTCAAACTGATAAACTTCAAAATTGAACTGATCAATACGCAACCCTGATACTAGGGATGTGTAAAAATTGAATCGAAATAATGTTATTGACTTATTGGTTATTATTTGCCCTCTGCCTTAATTTCTCAATTCACATTTAACAATGACTTTGAATTCGCAAAAAACTGTTTCTTTTATTTGTCTTACTTGAATAATTCTTTTCATGCTAGTTATTATTATTTCTATTTCATGAGTATTTTGTAAAGTTATATTATTATTTTGTCGCGTCAAATTGTAGGAGAAGTCATATATTTATTTTATGAGCATATTTTTATTAATTAAATCAAAAATCAAATCGTTAATGATCAAAAATCAATAAGGCAAAAACCAATAAAAAATATATATATTATTGATTTAACATATTTAAAAATCAAAAATCAAATCGATAATACATAAAATAACAATTCAACACGCTTATAAAATATAAAATATAAAATACGGAAATAGGGAAAATATTTACCCTTCTTTCTCATAGTTTCTAGTCACAACTCAAAACTTTCCAGAGAATTAGGGTTTCTTCCCTTTTCTCCCTAAAAAATTCACTCTGCTCGACAAACTCAACTTGCTATTCCTCCGGTAAGATTATTCCCTCAATTTCAATTTGTTGTTTTTTGATTGTTTGATTTATTTTTTGTTGTATTTTTTGGTATTTTTTTCGTTTCGTAGCTAGTGTTAAAATCTGAAAAATCCAGCTTCATTTGAGTTCTTGATAACTAATCCTAACCCTAATCCTGTTAGATTAGGTCATGGAGGATAATGAAGGTGGGGATGGAGTTGGTGGAGAGCCAATCGAGCAGTTTCACAGGAATGAAGCGATCTCCGCTGTTGCTGATGATGGGTTCATGGTTGAAGAGGATGATGATTACGAAGATCTCTACAATGATGTTAATGTTGGTGAGAATTTTCTTCAATCTTTTAGAAAGAATGAGGATTTAGTATCTAGGAATGATGAGGTAGAGAGGAAGCCCGAGCAGCCTGCCCTTCCGGCGCCACCACCGGTAGTGGCAGCACCGCAAGTGGTGGATGAGAGTGGGCGTGGCGATTTTCAGGGTGTGGGTGGGGAGAGGAATCCTGTAAAAGAGGAGGATGTAGTGTCTGGGATTTCTGCTAGAGCGTCAGTAGGTGCAGCTGTGTCTGGGCCTTCTGCTGGTGGCGGGTTTAGGGTTGAGTTAAGTCACCCGTCAAGTAAGATGGGTGATTTAGCAGAGCGGATGGTGAATAGTAATGTTCCGCATCAGGTGATGGCTCAACAGCCTCATGCTGGTGGTGTTGCAGTAGCTGCTGGAAATTTGGGTAATGTTGGAAATATGGGGAATGATAATTTGATAAGGCAAGGAGGGGTTAATATGAACGGGGCGGGTAATATTGTTGCTGGAGTTGGGGTCGCTAGTGGTGGAGGAGGAGGTGGTGGTGGCGGTGGTGCGACAATTCTTTTTGTTGGTGATCTGCATTGGTGGACCACAGATGCTGAGCTGGAAACTGAGTTGAGCAAGTATGGACACGTGAAGGAGGTGAAATTTTTTGAAGAAAAAGCTAGTGGGAAGTCTAAAGGATATTGCCAGGTTGAGTTTCATGATTCCTCAGCTGCCACAGCTTGCAAGGAAGGTATGAATGGACACATGTTCAATGGGCGGCCATGTGTGGTCGCCTTTGCATCATCACCGTATAATGTGAAGAGGATGGGTGAGGCTCAGGTGAATCGAAATCAGCAGGTGGCTCAAACTGCTGTTCCCCAAGCAAGGCGGGGGCCTGGTGAAGCTGCTGGTAAAATTGGAAATAACAACACTCCTACTGGTGGCAATTATCAAGGTGGTGGTGGTGGTGGGGATGGCAACAGGGGGGGTTATGGTAGAGGAAGTTGGGGTAGAGGAGGTCCTCAAGCTATGGGAAATCGGGGGCCTGTGGGTCCTATGAGAAACAGGCCTGGTGGGATTGCAGGAAGGGGTATGATGGGTAACGGTGGAGGTGGATTTGGACAAGGTATGGGTGGTGCACCTCCTATGATGCATCCTCAAACAATGATGGGTCAAGGCTTTGATCCTGCTTTTGGAGGGCCTATGGGGAGAATGGGTGGTTATGGAGGATTTCCTGGTGGTCCAGCTCCACCATTTCCTGGTATGTTGTCATCTTTTCCACCTGTTGGAGGAGTTGGGATGCCTGGAGTAGCTCCGCATGTAAATCCTGCATTCTTTGGTAGAGGAATGCCAATGAATGGTATGGGAATGATGCCAGGCGCTGGTATGGAGGGGCCTAACATGGGGATGTGGTCAGAACCTAATGCGGGTGGATGGGCTGGTGACGAGCATGGTGGTAGAGCAGGAGAGTCAAGTTATGCAGAAGAAGCTGGGTCTGATCATCAGTATGGAGAAACAACTCACGATAGAGGGGCTTGGCCAAATAATGTGAAAGAGAAAGATAGAGGATCAGAGCGTGATTGGTCTGGTTCTACAGAGAGAAAACATCGAGAAGGCAGAGAACCTTCCTATGATAGAGACATGGCTCGTGAAAAGGATCGGGGGCATGACCAGGATTGGCCAGAGAAAAGATACCGTGATGATAGAGATGTCGCACGTGACAGAGAGAGGGACCGGGATCATGAACGTTCTAGAGAACGAGGGCGTGATCGTGAGAGGGATCGAGATCGTGATCGTCATAGGGATGATAGAGATAGATATGCTGATCATCATAGGTACAAGGACCGTGAGCAAGAATATGATGATGAAGACAGAGGAAGATCATCAAGGGGACACAGTAAATCACGATTATCACATGAGGAAGACCATCGATCAAGATCAAGGGATGCTGATTATGGAAAGAGGCGGCGTATAACTTCTGAGTGATCTGTGGCCTTGGCTGCTTATTTTCAAGGGTACTTCACAATGAGATCGATTAGTAGCTAATCTACTGAGGGTTTGCCGTGTGTATTCAGGCTTTCTACTGGGAGGCTTCCTTTACTTCCTGCTTTCATCAAACAGCTGCTCTCTGAAATGTTCTGTCGCACACATGTTTATGCTCTTTTCCTGTTTAAGGAGCACTGGTCTCTCAGCACTAAGAAGTAAGTTCACAGCTCCTCTTACATTGAATTAGTTGCTTTTGGTTATGAATACTACCTGTATTTGCTATTTCTCTGTTTAGGAGGATGTTCTTTGTCTGAAGGGCCTTCTCAAGCATGATGTGCTAGTTGGGAGGGGACTACTATTATTTATGTGGAACTTAAATGTTACCAAAGTTTTCACTGTTTGATGCTGGTCTTTCATGGAAAGCGTTCCTTATGACTTGCTGTGTAATTCTATATGCTAAAGCTGAGGCATTTTTTGTTTTTTGAATTCTGGTGTAAAGAGAACTATATAGAGGATACTGAATCACTTATAGATTTTTTTTTTGATTCCTTGTAATCTAGAAGATATTTTATGTTTTGTAAATATTTGACTGCCAGTACCATCTTGGTACTGAAGAATACACTGCTATCTAATTAAAAAAATTATAACAACAACAACATAGCCAATGTCATCCCACAAGTGGGGTTTGGGAAGGATTGGATGTACACAAATCGTACCCCTACCTTTGTGGGGTAGAGTTGCTGAAAAAAGATGATTATTAGGACCCGTTTGACTATGAAACTTGTGAGTTTAGAAAAAAGTAGTTTTTGCTTTCAAAGTGAAAAATGGTATTTGGAAATTGGAGTTGTGTTTGGCCATGAATACAAATTGGAGTTGTTTGTGAATTTGGTGTTTTCAAATTTGGATTTTTTTTGGAATTAAGTTGCATTCCGGAGCTTTATGGCCTAACATGATTTCCAGAATTCAACTCTGATAAAAAAGTATAAATATTCATGGCCAAACAGATGTTTCATGTAGAATTTAACTTCATAAGAAAGTGACTGATACTATAAAAGCCATAGGAAAATGGATGTTCCTTGGGGAGAGCGTGAAGTTGTTCATTCAATTCTGCAAGTAAACAGCATATATATCTTTTGTAAACCATCAATTTTCTTTTCTTTGCACTTTGTTGTTATGTGATATCCTTCAAGCTGATGTATGTCTAGTTTTTGGTATTTGGGAAATTTAAAAAACACATGGCATTTTTGAAACCCTGCAAGGTTTTCAAATTTCACAACTTATTTGTTAATTAATCATGAATCCTAATAGACTGTCCTGTTACTCCTTTGTTATGGAGGGCTATAATTAACATTTCTCTCAGGTTCTTCTTGGTGGGGTTCTTAATAGAAAGTGATGCATTTCCAGTATAAGCTTGAGATTTTCTAGTAGTTTTAGCAGAAATAGTGTTCCAATTTAATACTCCTTCCGTACCAATGTATGTGGTTGTATTTGACTTGGCGCAAAGTTTTAGAATGGATGATAGACTTTTTGGACTAAACTTAGTCATGCCTGAAAGTATCAAGGATGCCGACATCAGTTGGATTCTCTTGGAAAGATCTATGATGTGTTTGGAAGGAGTGGAATTGAAGATGTTTTGTTGAAATATCAACTTCAAAGTACTCCTTAAGGCTAGATGTTTTTTGAATTTATGTAGTTGGAATAGCTTGTCCCCAGTGGACTCCGATGTCAAACTTTTGGATTTTGTTAGCTCCTTGTACATAGCATAGGACTCATTGTGACTGAGGTAACAATCTCTCTCTTTTGTAATTATGCATCTTCTTGATGCCATTTATACTACTGCTTACTTTATCAGAGAAGAAAGAAAGATTCTCTGAAATTGTGGTCTAAAACAAATCATAAACATGTATTTGGTTATAAATGATCTCATAAAGAAAAATAAAAAAATCATCTCATCAAGGGAGTACTCTTTTTTGTTTGTTTGTTTGAACAATGTTGGCATGAGTTGAGTTTAATTTGAGAAACACGGCTGAACCCAACTCGGCAATGAGGAATAGTTGTGTGCTAATTTAGATGAATTTTGATCTTACCACATGAGACTGATTGTAGTTCCAATCTTGATTATTCTTTTTTCTGCAAGGTGTTGATTACAAATGTTGTTTGGTTTCTTGTGATTAGCATGGAGGACGTAGAGCAAGCTGTTGGAAGAAGTATGGAAGGAAACTCCTTGAAGCTTCTGCCTGAGGAAGAATGTTATATTACATGGTTTTACCTCTCAGTGAAGATTGAATTGCTAATGGAACCTTTTATCTCAGTTTTTAGCCTCTTTTTAAATTTATGTTTTTGTTGAATGTGACCTGAATAATCCTTTCTGGTGACTTGTGACTTTATTGTAAGCCTAGCCATAGATTATCATAGACATTTGCTATTTGATGTAATGTGTTAGGAGGATTTGACCCACAGGTTGGCGCCGATCTGCTCCCTTGCTCTGGCGTTTGTTGTACTAATTATTTTTCTCTTTGTATCATCTTCCTTTCTTTGTTTTTGACCCAGTTTTTTAGTTGGGCATATGTTGTTGTTTAGCGCTAATTCTTCCTCCTGCAAGTGTACATAGAATTTTCTTGTTACAAGTTTCTGAAAAGTGTACATGGAATACTAACAAGGAAATAGTTCCTGTCATTCAAAATGAACTCTTTACATTTGTCTTCTTTGTTTGCATTTTGTGTTTTTCATGTGTGCATTAGATGACACTGTGCATAGCGCTGAAGTTACACATTTACTACTGTATCTGTTTTTCATACTTGATTTTTCATATGCTTTACTTGAGTCGAGGCTTTTCTCACCAACAGCCTCCCTACCTTAACAAGGCAAGGGTAAGAGTGTTATACACCTCTTTTTAGACCTTGTAAGATTACATAGGGTATTTTGTTGTTGTATAGTGTGTATGTTTATGAAATAATGTATTGTCTTTTTATGTCATCGTTGTTATTTCACGAAATTTTCTTTTGGTTTATGATTCTCGATTTAGCTATCTTCTGCAAATAATGTTCACATATCTAAATGATGGTCAAGTATTATCTAATTGAATTTTTTAAGGGTTGATTGGAAACACCCTCTCTATTTTTGTATGATATGTATGTACACCTCCTTTGTATGGAATTATACTAGGTATTTTACTTTCGTTCGTATGATAGAAAATGACAGATCATATTTATGAAATTATATTTGATATGCTATTTACACTGGGCTTTGGTACTTTGTATTGATACCTTTGATTACAATTAATTGCCAAGCGATCAAACTTATATCTTTCAGTTCCTAGGATTATATAAATAAATCACTTATCTCTATATTTCAAATCCACCAGTTCAAAATTATTCGACAATAACTATTTCTCGTAAACATAATTGAAAAATGTCTACTGCACACTATTTCTACATAATACCTAAAAAATAATAATAATAATAGTGGTCCACGTAAGCAACGTTAAAAAAATATCCTATCCTGACCGACCATACCCCATATAAGATGCCGACGTCCCTGATCTTTCGGCAAAACCAACAACCAATCATATACTTCCACGTATTCAACCCCATGCCATTTTTTTCCATCCAGCACACCTATTATATTCTATCTTATCCTATTCTTAAAAATCAGTGCCTCAACATTTTTCTCCAAACATACTGTTTGTTATTAGTTTCATAAAAGAAAATCCAAATTACCTTAGAAATTTATCTCCATTTTCTTGTTCTTAAAGCCTGTGTGTACTATTATAGGCAGATCAAGATAGGGACAAGACTGCGTACACACCACCCTCTTCAGACTCTACTCGTAGAATTGCATTTAGTATGTAATTGTTTGTCAGAAATATCCTCTCTATTTTTCATATAACAGTGTAAGGTTGTGTATACACTAGGCTCCCCAAATCCACTTGTGAGATTACACAGGGTAAGTTGTTGTTCTTGTAGTTATCCACAAAGTATTATGTGAGTAGAGAAAACAGTCTATCTATCTTCACAAGATAAGGGTGAGACTGTACACACTATCCTCTTCAAACTTCATTTGTGGAATTATACTGAGTATGTTGTTTTCGTTATAGTTCTATCCGAAGAATCATATTATTGTAAATTTCATTGTTTTTTAGAGAAAAAATGCAGACTTGATTGATTAAATTTGAGTCTTTTGCCCCTTTCCACAGGTTTTATACTGATCACCAAGATTTAAGGAACAAAATTTACCAGATTTCGATGGCGGATTCGGACAATGAATCAGGAGGACACAGAGAGAACAGCAACATTGAGAGTTCACTAAGAGAACAAGACAGGTTCCTTCCAATAGCAAATGTAAGCAGAATCATGAAGAAAGCTTTACCAGCTAACGCGAAAATCTCAAAAGATGCTAAGGAGGTAGTTCAAGAATGCGTTTCTGAATTCATCAGTTTTATCACAGGGGAAGCATCAGATAAGTGTCAAAGAGAAAAGAGAAAGACAATCAATGGTGATGATTTGTTGTGGGCAATGACAACTCTTGGTTTTGAAGAATACATTGACCCACTCAAGATTTATTTGCAGAGATTTAGGGATTTAGAAGGGCAAAAAAGTGGTGTTTCTGGAGAGAAAGATAATGGTGGATCAGTGAATATAGGTGGTTATGTTGAGGACTATCATGGCATGATGATGATGGGGAATCAACATCATCAAGGACACGGGAATGGTACCGGAGTATATAATCATCAGACGGGGGAGAATGCTGCAGGGGTTGGTACAGGAGGGTCGCGATTTCCTGATGTTGGGAGGCAAAGGTAATTGTAACATCCCAGGACTACAAAGATGTATCAGGACTTGAGAGAAGACGAAGAAACGCGATGTTTGAACTGTCAACAGGTTGAAGTATGGACATTAAAGCTACTGAAAGACATAAACAGACTTTGTAGTTTGTAGACTTTAGTATATTCTACAAAGATGTAAATTGGTAAACATGTGTGTACATTACAATGTGGTGTAAACATGGTAGTTTAATGGATTGTAATTGTCTATTACATCATTGTTTCTCTATTAGTTGATGTTTAAATAAACTTTTTTAGTGTAACAAATGATTTATATTGCTAACGCGAGTGTGTATCATAGCATTGTACTATCACTTTTTCACAAGTTTCAAACCAATCGCGACTATTCATTGTTCTCTTCACCTACCTAAACTATCATTTCCTTTGCCTTAGAATACATCTAGTCAAATATTTGTTCTCAATCGACAATAGGCAATGGAATGCCGACTCCGCATCAAGGTGCGTAATATGAAGAGAGGTATGAAAAACACTAAAAGTGATCGCTCATGTGTCTTTTGTCTACCCTTTTAAATCATTTTCTTTTATAACTAAACATATTTCCCACAGCCCAGTGAAGCAAAGTTAGAAACTCAGCAGATAATCAATTGGCCCGTCTACACTTACATAACAAAGTTTAGTATACAGCAAAATTCGAACCTGTAAAATAATACAAATTTTGTCTATGGAAGGATTCAAAGCCGATAACATCTGCACTAACACAACAACCAAATTACCACTAGACCAATGCCTTGAAGGCAAACAACGTTTCAACAACACAAGCAGAGTGCAAAAACTCACAAAGCATATTCGACATTGTTAAATGATTCATTTTCCACTGCATTTGAACATTTTCAAATCCTAATATCCAAAAATGCAAACATCACAACAAAGCACTAGTTAGCTTCAGACAATTTCCGGCTGGGAAATTCCGGTCCACAAAAATAAATAAGAAAACAGCCTTCAGAGTCGCAAATAGATGTTGATTTTGACTTACAGTATTTATACTTGTAATCCATGATCAGGGCAGCTAAATAAGTTGTGACAGAAACAAAAACTACAAATGTGTTTATACAAGCAGTAATCTTGCATTTATAATTCTACGATATCCTAGTCAAAGAGTTAATCATAAAACGATACATTGACAATAGATTACAGCTGGATAAACTCGCAATGAGCACCTGGAGGCACAAATTCATGAGGAAGAGGTAGGTTATTGAGACGGACAGTGTAGACTGCATTTCCTGTGATTACATTCTACTCATGTTTTCAGGCTTTCACACCTTTGCTAGAACGCTTTTTTGCATCCTTCAAGGCCTCACCTTCATCTTCCTCATCATCTTCCTCGTCAGCTAGTTTAGTAAGCTCATCCTGGATCATAATCTTTATAGACGATTTCCTGGGCATGAGATCGGTATCAAACCGCTTGGCTGCAGAAGAAAAAAGGTGTCATGCATTGCTTAGAAACAAGGACAGCGGTCATTTGAAATCTACATATCTTGCTATTCTGGCCTCATGGAGGACGTACATTACGTTTCTCAAAATATAACTTGAACTACCACAATAATCAACAAGACCTAGCTTCTTTTTACCAAGTACACCTAAAGAATTGCCAAAAGAATAGACAAAATAAGAACACTCACCAAGTTGCTTCAGAATGTCAGTAAAGGTAGCCTACAAGCACAAAACAGAAACGATGTTAGGAATTCTGGAATGCAAAATTTGAGAATGAAAATTACCACTGTGGATCACTCAAATATGCAATGGGTTAGAGTGTCATGGCAAAAAGGAATACAGAAAAGAAAATGTATGCGTCTCCACAGAACAATCATACAAGGGAATTGCAAGATGGGATGAATTGGAGTTCAATGCTAACCGTATTGAAGTCAACTTCTTTCAGAATTTCACAAATTGCATTTCTAAGTTCATCATCACTTGGTCTCAATTTGTCCTCCTTGCTCTTGTCCTTTCCCTTTACAATCTTTTTCCCTGCACAAACAGAAAGCTCTTTGAGAAACACCTTTGATAATTATCATTACAAAATCAACCATATTTGAACACCTCATAACAATCCACCAATGGGCATATATAGCAATCCTCACCAGTATTTTCTTTGGGAGTAGACTTCTTTGGCGTTGAAGATTTTTCTTTAACTACTTCAGTTTTTTTCTTCTTTGAAGATGCTTTGGGAGTTGCATCATCGTTAGCAATATGCTTTGAGCTCTTTGATGATTTTGAAGGGGTCTTTTTGGGAGGACTTGGTACTTTAGAGACTGCAGGTTTCTTGGTCTTAGCTTTCACAGCAGGTTCTTTCTTTGATGAAGATTTACTTGAACTTTGCTTATGCTTTTTCTTGTTCTCCTTAGGCTCCGGCTCCGGCTCTGGCTCTGGCTCAAACTCCGGCTCCGGCTCCGGCTCCGGCTCAGTCTCTGGCTCAGGCTCATCTTCAGATTCACTCTCCTTCTCACTTTCAGCCTGATCTGACTTCTCATCATCAGATCTCTCAGGAACACCATTAGTCTTTTCCTCTTCAGATTCCTCCTCATGGACATCTACTTCTTGCTCAGATTCATCTTCTGACTCTTGCACTTTCTTCTTCTTTTCAGCCTTTTGTGCAGTTTCGGCCTTCTTTCCACTCTGTATTGTGAAAAAGAAAACCAAACCCCCCCCAAATAAAATATTGATGTAAAAGCATCTTTCTTTTTCTTATTCTAATTCGAAAACAGCATATGGTAATAAACATGATGAATGTTCTTAAAACATATGTAGTAATAATCCAGACGGAAAAATTTCAGCTTATTGTAAGATGACTTTTTCTCTTCTTTTTCATTAAGGTAAAAAGATCTCACTCTATAAAAATCAGATTAGCAGTCGAACATTTCCAAGACAAAGCCACTTCAAAGCAGCATGAATAAATTGCAAGCAATTATGGCAACTTCTACACTGTTAAAGTCATGGTGATACTAACCCTCTGAGAACTTAGAATGTGGATTCATAAACTCAAGACGGGAACAGGTAAAACTACAACAAAAAATTTTGTGCAATGAAATTTGATTAATTTCATCAAATTTTGTTCGTGAAATATAATTTAGAGTTAAAACTAAAGGATACAAGTTGCCAGTTGCAACTTGCAAATGGAAAACCATATTTCAGTTGGTATTACTTCACTACTAGAACTTAAATAAATGTTAATAAGAGAGAAATACCTTGGTTGAACCTTTCGAGCTAGCGGATGCCGATGAGGGACTTTTTTTGCTCTCTCTTCTCCGCTTCTTTCCTCTACTTGACTATTCATTTGACCGGAGATGTGTCAGCATACTATAAACTAACAGAACAAGTGACAAATGCTTTTATCACAGTCAGAAGTCACCCACCTGGTCCTTCTCGGCAAGCAACTCAGAAGTTGTAGCATGAGGAGCTTCCAAAAAGTCCATCAACTTTACCACCATGTCTTCCTGATCATATAAATCTCCTAATTAGTTAAGACGCTTGAGAGGAAGATTGTATACAAGATGCAATCTTCACATAGTACGAAGTGACAAGTAGAAGATGAAAGCAATTTTCTCAGTCAAAATATTCAGAAGGAAAAATATCTTCTTCCTATTTGGCCTACACATGTAATTCTCATAAGATAAATTGCACTTGAGTGAGAAAAGAACTACTTAAGTGAAATATAAATGCCTAGCATGCAGCTAAAACATATGAACACACCTTTCTTGAAGTAGCTTTGGTAACAGGTATATCCAGTACATCACAGAATTCCAACAGCTTCTCTTTGATATACTTGTCAAGCTTTTCTTTTACTTTCATCTTTTGCTTTTCCTGCAACATTACAATGACCAAACCTTAAGAATTTCTAGAAGCTCAAACATAAGATAATGAATGAGATGCAATTCTCAGAGAAACAATGAATGAGATACATATACAACCGGTATGAGCAAACAAAGAGAAGGTCTATGCTCAAATTTCCCCAGATCATCATCCCAGGCAAAAAGGGAACAGAATAGTCGTTTACTCATACATGCATCCTTCCACAACATGAGATGTCATTTACCTCATTTTCATGCCAGACAAAGCCAGAAAACCGTGAAATATTGCTCTTGATCTGGGCTGCCTGCGAAGGACAAGAACTATGATCAAAATAAATAAATGATGAAACTAGGAAAGCAAGATTAAAAGTGAATATCAATCTAGCGGAATGAGCTGCTGACTAATTCCATAAGTGATGATCAAGTAACAAGCAGAATAATCCTAATGAAGTTATCAGTAAGAAAAATCATGCTAAATGCTTCAAATCATCATAATTGCAAGAAGAAAAGAAAGGGAAATCTCATGTTTAACAAAACTTGCAATCAAACCCAGACAAGCACACTATAGTAAATATTTGTAAGACTTTTTCTTACAGGGAATAAATTGCAGATATCAAAAAGTTTTAACTGATTGCTGGAAGAAAAAAAAAGTACCTCAGTGTCAGCTGAAAAGAAATGATATGGCACTTAGGTTGCAGATGTGACTCTTTAGAAACTAGATATAGTTATAAAGCATTTCTTTTTTCTTAAAGAAGTACAAGCTTCCTAATGGACTTAGGTTGCAAATGATCTCAAAATTATATGTATCACTTCAGTTGTCACTGCTTTTGAGTTGTGAAATAAGAAAAGTAAATTACAATATGGCTCAAACAAAATTCAAAATACTTTAGAGTACCCACAACATTATTATTTATAACTATGGTGTCCGGGCAAACTTTCGTGCACTTCAACTAATTCCACTTGGGACCTGTTATCTCCCACCGACAGGTAATTTCCCCAAGATAAGGTGAAATGTTCGCAACTTCACCTTGGTAATGTCATATACCAATTCTATCCTCCTTTCAAGGTGAAAGATGCGGGAAGAAGAAAAATGACTTTTTGTGAAATAATTAATATCAAGCAAAGCCAAAAGTTTTAGGCAATCACATGATACAGGATGAGTCATAAAGAGTAGACTTTGTGAAGTTCAACTTCAGGATTCTACTTTCTGAAAGGACATAGTGTCATCATGAACAAGTGAAACTCCAGTTCTGCACTGTGCACAATGTCCTCACATTCCGAAGTTCCAAACACATTAAAGATTCTTTTGAAGTTTTCTTTTCATTTTTCTTCGTCCACCTAGGAGTCTCACCTTTGGCTTTCAACTTGGTAGGATTATTATTATACGTTTTCCCAAAAGAACATTCATTCATTTCTCTCTTCCCCGTCGACTTCTCCAGTAAATAAAATGTATCAACACAGGATTAAA